GAGTGAAGCGAGGGAAAAGAAAGCAAAGTAAGAAGACGAGTGCGGCTCAGGGAGACACAACAGAGCTGGAAACAGGAGCCGTCAACTTCACATATGTTTAAGGATCGAAATGAATATTGTTATCACGATATTCTTGATCAGTATCGCAATATCACATTTTGTCAATATCAAAGTTAGCGTATTAGCATTCTAACAAATTAGCAGAAAACAACAAATACAGCTGGGGCTGATGGGAATGTCAGTTTGTAGGAATCTGGTCAGAAACCAAAGCGATGGACAAATGCTGACCTGATGATTGGGCCCCTGGTTAGCTCACTTTTGGTGTTCGTGCCCCGTGTACTTATCGCAGAAGCTCGGGTTTGACTCGGCCCTTTGCTGCATCATGCGAAAACCTTGTTGAGCTTGTGATGCCTCTTAATGAACATCTGAACCAAACATGACAATAGTTGGTGATATTTCACTCAGAACCAAAGTGGACCGACCGACGTGCTGCTAGCAAGGCTACAAAACTAACGCCACGCTTTTTATTCCTATTCAAGATACACCAACATCGATTTAAAAAGCATTTCATTTGCCCATCAAGAAGCAACAACCAAGTCTGTAAACAGCACGTTAATAAAATACACAGTAAGTCATAAATTATCCAAGGACAAGGACGGCTGCCTTGATTTTAACCTTCCTTGGGTAAAAAATGAAGCACAAAGAAATCGTGGCTACAAACACGACCATAGAAATTTACATTTATTCATTTATCTGACGCTTTGATCCAAAGCGACTAACAAATGCTATATACTTCAGAGGTCGCACGTCTCTGGAGCAACGAGGGGTTAAGTGTCTCGCTCAGGGACACAGTGGGGGATTGAACCCGGGTCTCTCACACCAAAGGCAGGCATCTTATCCACTGGACCATCACCACCCAGAAATCAGCAGGTTTGTCCATAAAGTGGGTGAAAGCCGCAACGATTAATGAATTAGTTTTCAACTCTTAAATTAAACACCAACTACTATTCTTGATTAATTGGTTTGAAGTCACAATTCTCTGATTTCAGCTTCTTAAATGTGAATATTCCTGAGGGCACCTGAGGGCATCGTTATAAACTTTACAGCAATCTGTCATTCTGTCCGTTAAGCAGCTGGAACAGCTACTTTCTCCTAGACTGATCTATTTCAGCTCCTCTGTCCACTCACAATCCTAAACCAAAACGACCATCATTAACTTCTTTTAAAGCTCCGACAGCTGATCCACTCACCCCATCACTCTGCTCAGAGATCAGCTTCATCTTCACTCAGCTCCAGTGCACACAAACCGAGCAGAGGCACACTCCTGACACGAGGCCGCTCGGGCGGGATGAAACCGAGGAAGCAGTCACGTGACCCTCGAGGTCCTCGTGACCTTACAAGTTTGAATCTAACAGCGTATTTAGTGGTGCAGAGGAATGTCCGTGCCCTCCGGCCCAGCACGCCGTCACATTAAACTACAGTCACTCAGCTGATGAGCAAACACCCAGCAGAAAGGAGAGTAAAGGTCAAACATCCACAGCAGTTGCCTCATCGCAGCTTCAGGAGCTGAGCTGTGATTGAATCAAAGTGTACGGATCAAGACTGCACTTCCGGGGAGCTTCAAATACGGATTGTGCGCCTGAACAATCAGCTACCCTGGAGAGAGAGACCAGTCAGTGGTCATAATGTTATGGCTGATCAGAGTATATCACTTCCACATCATCACATATGGACGCATGGTCAAGACCCGTAGGCGTTACAGGTAGGTGTGGGACGGCGTGCTGGTTAGCTCAGGTGGTACTCAGGCTCAGTGCTGCCGCAGAAGCCCGGGTTCGATTTCAGCCCACAGCTCTTTGCTGCATGTCGCTCTCTCTCTTTCTCTCTCTCGCACATTTCCTGTCTCTTAGTAATACATTAGTAAGTCTCTAAATATTTCTTCTCCTGTCATTTCTCTTATCTGACATTTGAGAAGCTGGAACCAGCAAACCTTTGGCATTCCTGCTGGAAGAATCATTTAAACTATTAATCTATTTACAAAATAGTCACCAGTTGCAATTTATTTACACAGTACACAGTTTACTGTGAGTCGTAACAGACATGAGAGCTGCTAATAAAGTGTGAAGCTTTTTGTTTTTAAATAAACAATTCGTTTTCTATAATAAAATACCATGACGCAGGATTCCGATGAACAAATCATATAGTTTGTTAGCTGTAGTTGTGAATAAAGACAATGATGATTAATAATCCACTGAGCAGATGGCAGGGAAGGTCAGATGAACTGGTCAAATGAAAGAAGACACCAGACTTCGGGCTTCTCTAGATCAATTCAAATCTTTCAGGAGCTGAGTGCTTAAAACCTGCTGACATCCTCAGGGCGCCACACATGATGCCGCCTGGACACCACACAACTCTCCAGAGCTGAACAGAAAAACAAGCAGCAGAGCTAACCGCCCACCTCTGACCTATAAATACCTTATCAGCCTCTGATCTCTCAACCAGACAACCAGGTGTGAAGCCGTTAAAACAAACACAGCCTACGAGTCAGTCAGAAAACCCACAAGACAGCTGACAAAAAAGGATGTGTCTAGTTAAACAGAGATAAGGATGAGATTTCTGTGCACATTGTCAAATGTTATAGACAACTTGCAACATGTTGTAGTGATGTGACATGTGACAAAATATAGGTCAATTTTAGTTATTATAATACAACATCCACAGTGACTGAATCCTCTGCTCTATTTCATATTTGTGTAGTTTGGTAGCCTACAGCTCCAAGTCAGCTGAATTGTTTTGTACATAGAAAAGTCCAACCAAACTCCATTTAAAAACCTGGCACTTTAATGTTTCTTTGCTTATTGACACAAGTACAATGCATAAACAATATCAATGAGACACATTTAGGGAATCACTGCGGTCTTTTAGTCCATTCGACAAATGAATTATCCTTGAATCAATTGATTTCGTTTGTATACATTGCACATCCCTCAACCCATTATGTGATAAAAACCAAGGTGCAGGCGAACCAATCTCTCTCATGGGTTGTTTGTTTTGACCGTAATGCCTGTTAGTGTATGACGATTTGAAACGATGTGTGATAAAGTATTTAATCAGAGTCTTTCACACTGGTAGAAATAGTATACAAATCCTGTACGTGAGTAAAAGTACAGATACAGCTGATAAATTTTACTCTTCATTTAAATTTCTACTGGAGACAAAACAAAATTACCTGCTTTTAAAAATACCTAGTATCACAAGTATAAAGTACCATCAGTTTTGCTGACATAACAAGCGTAATAATAAGATAGTTGCCAACAA